GGGGAGGGGGAAGGAGAGAGAGAGAGAGAGAGAGAGGCGGTTTTCTGGTTTGGCTGCCTTTCTTATCCTTGTTGTCTGTTACCATTGAGGGGGAGGGCTAGCAAGAAGAAGAAGAAGAAGAAGAGAGAGAACGCCTACTGGAGACAGCGAGGTGTGCCATGCTAGAAAAGCAGCTTTCCGTGTTGCTTGCGACATACCTCAATCGATTTATATGCGACCTCAATGAGGAGCAGCTGCGCGTCTCCCTCTGGTCCGGAGAACTGGTGCTGCGGGACCTGGAGCTGCGAACGAACATTGTCGACCAGATAGCCCTCTCCCTCTTTAAGGGTCGACAGGAGGTCGGAAGTCGCGAGGAGGCGGAGGACGGTGATGCCGCAAGGGCAGCGGCGCAGGCGCTTATGACGCCTTTTACCGTTGTCAAGGGAGTGGTGAAGGAGCTGAAGATTCGTGTTCCGTGGTCAGCCGTTGATCGTGAACCTATCAGTGTGGAGGTTATTGGGGTGGAGATTGTATTTGGTCTTTTGCGTGCCAGGCCGCACAACGCCGAGGAGGATGCCGCCCGCGTCATGGTGGTGAAGCAGAAACAGTTAAACATGTTTGAAATAGGCAGGCTAGGTAGCCGACCTGATGAGGGTTATGGAGTGGGGAGGGGTGTCCCACCTAAGCTCAGCACTGGGGCCGGAAGTACAAAAAAACTCTCCTACGTTGAACAGCTCACAGAGACTATCAAAAGGAACGTTCATGTAGTGTTGCGGGATGTGTCCTTAAAGTATGTCGTGGACTATCATGGCCTTGCCCCATGCTTTACGTGTGCACTTCATGTGACGTTGGACAGCGTGTACGTCACCACCACGGATGAGGGGTGGGAGGATCGCTTCATCATGGATCTATCCATGCGTTACTCCAAGAAGGTGGTCATGGGTGGGCTACGGGTATCTCTTCATGCCGTAAAGCAGCAACACTCTGCGGAGGGGGAGAACCAGAATAATGAAATGCCAAACTGGCAGAAGAAGATGAACATTGTTAAGGCGGAGGAACTCACAGTGCTGCTACGCTTGTCCAAAGACAGCGATGATGAGGATGTTGTCATGGATGATGTGAAGCAAACTGTGATTTATGTGATTGCGACAACTCCTATTCAGCTTCAAATATCTTTTGGAGTCGTTGGCTTTTTTGCGATCATTAATGACTCAATCAGAAATGGTTTGGTGGGGCTGAACTATAGGCAACACCTTCATCTTCTTAACAAAGGTAACGAGGGGGCACTCACATGGCCTCAACGACGCTGGAAATTTGCACTTTTTTCTGTCATGGACGACGTCAGAAGATCCAAAAACAAGGCAAAAGGGCACCAGCGTTTTATCGAAGGTGTTGTACTTTTTGGCAGGCGCAGAAGGGAGTATTGCGCACTATGGAAGCGAAGCCAGAGAGTGGCATGGCTTCCACCTCTTACACAGGAGGAAACGAGTAATCTACATGCTTTGGAAGAGCTCCTCACAGTAGAACAACTTGTGTTTTTACGCTGCCTGGCGTACGCTGAACTAAGTACGGAAAGGCAGTCTCTGTGGCGACAGAAGTTACTCATTGAAGAGGTAAGGAAGAGAAAACAAGTCGGCAACGAGGACATTGGATCGGGTGGTAGTCGATGGTGGCAATGGCTCGGGCGACGTCAAGCCATTGGCAGCAGCGCCGCTTTAGATGAAGCGAGGGAACATAAATTTGTGGCAGGTGGTGGCATTGAGGCGGAATGGGCTTTTGGTCACAAATTTCTTCAGCACATTGCAACAAGACGTGTGGGGACCTCCTTGACAACATCATCATCAGCAGTAGCAACAACAACAAAATCCACCATGACATCCACAAATTCGATTCTCATTGTAGTGAGGTTTCCGATTGTAGATCTAGAAATTGAGCCCGATATCTGGAGGAGCGATATGACTGAAAAGAAACCTCTGCTGTCGTACCTGGCAAATCTGCAACAACGTCTAAAGTTTTGTTTCAATTCTGTTAAGTGTAACTACACTATAGGTGCAGCTCCCCAAGGAGATCGTGCTGGATTTAGTCTGGCGATTGAAAATGTCTCTGGGAGCTTCACTGGATCCTTGCCTTCCGTTGTGCTGGAGACACACAACACTCATGAGGAAAAGAAAGAAAGTGAGGAGGACTCTGGTGGTCAAAATGTGTGTGTGTGTGAACCTTGGATGTCCATTTATGTTAACGAAACGCATACCCGGGTGAGCGGTTTCATCGCCAACACCTCGCTAACTCTCCAACCACTATGTGAATTGCAGTGGTGGGTGTCCGGTGTTAAAGAATTTCTGGCAGTACTTCCGGAATACACAAAGCAAGACTTTAGCTCTTTTTGTGAGTCCACTAAGTCGCGTTGCCTTTCTCCATCTCTGCCTACAATGGAGATCCACGTTGCGGGAATTATTCTAACCATGCCTTTGTATGTTGAAGGTGACACCGAAAGAAAATTGATCCTTCGCGCTCCCGACGTTCATATAATAACCCTCTACGAGGAGGAGGAAGGAGAAGAGGAGGCTGAAAGGCAGAATGAGCAACAGCTTCCCATGCAAGAGCCTGCTCTTACCATGAACTGGCGTTTCTCCATGAGTAGGAAAGAGCCAATTTGTATTTCTTGTGAAGATATTGGTGATGTGGTGCTGTTATCGTTTGCAGAGGTGGAGGTGGTGTTTGGTAGGCAGTTGAGTGTCTTTGTGAAGACGCGTGCCAAAGCAACACTTGTTCCCACGGTGCTTGGACTTTTACATGATCACATGGAATGCCTGGAAGTTGCACAGGGCGATGTTGGAGAGGCTCTCTTCTGTGAAGTCATGAACAATAACGGGAAGTGGCGTCTAGAGTCCTCCACAGCGCTCAATGTTGGAGGAACTGTCATGACGATTCCAGCGGCTCAATGCCGCCGTTTTCTCCGTCTGTTGTACCGATCGGCCGCTACGCTGGACGCGGACCACAAAAAAAGGATGGCGCCACCTGCTGTCAACGCTACTCTGCCACTGTTGCACCGTGTATTTCTAGGTATTGACTTTGCTCATTTAACGCTGCGTAACTCGAACAACGATGATGTGGTTGAGATTGAACTCTCAGGTGTGGAATCTTCAACGTATGAAGCCGGCCCTTTAATTCCATCGTCTTTTTCACAAGACGCATTTGTACTAGATATGACATCATCTGGCACAAAGGGGTACGACATACTGCTTTGCCTACCAGATTTGCATGTCACATCTCCCTCAGGCCAACATGTACTTGTGCTGGAGGGTCTAACAGCCACGTATAGCGTCTCCTCCCCTTTACTTTCCTTGGAAGCGGGGGTGCTGGACGTACGTATTTGTCCTTCTCTTGTTGATTGTATGGAGGTATTGATGCTGTCATCTGCGCTATTGCAACCTCCTACGTCCTCAGCTTTGGTGAGGCTTCCTGGTTTGGAGGAAGTCGCAGGCGTGACTGTTGTTTTGTCAGACGCTACGGCACACACTGAAAGGGTCATGGAAACGGCTCTAAAACGATTGAATGTTCGCATTCAGTTCCAATGGACGGAAGAGTGCGTCGCCGTGCACCTTAATGACTTGTTACTCCGTGCCAGCAGCGCGTCTGGTGGGAAAACGTTAAACCTGCGCGGGACTCTTGATAGAGCTGAGTATATTACAGACAACGGGGAGGAGGTAAAATCATTTGTGCTGCTTGCGCCCAGCACCGGTCTTAAGAAGAACGTTGATGCCACTTTTTTCACCTGTACTCTGGAGAGTAGGACAGATGGAGGCGCTGGCGCTGGTCGAAGTTTTGTGTCGTTCCAGACGAGGGGCGGCAGTGTGGGGGTGTTTTATGCGTATTGGATGCGACTGCTCTCCATGCAGGATGATCCCGCCGTCGTCCGCCTGTTGAATTTGTTTGGATCCGATAAGCGCGAGCGCGGCTGCTCTAGCGCCCGTGAGGAAATGCCACAAAAATCGACACCGGCTAGCGTTGCGCAGGATGCCTCTGGTGTGATCATCATCTCAGGGGAGGTGAGTGCGTTGGAACTGCTGCTCGCGACGGACGCCGCAGAGGAAGTGGATTTGCTGAACGAGGAGACGTACATCCCCTTTTTTGTGGGTACGCTTACTTTCAGGGCAGAGGTGTCGGGAGGCACTGAAGGCCGTGGTGACGGCTGTCAAGCTGCATCTGCACCGCCATCGTTGTTTAGGGGACAACTGACGCTGTCTAACATGACTTACCTCTCCCATAGTGAGGGCAAAGGTGTGTGGTCTCCACTCATCACACAGGCGTCATTACTTTTGGAGAACTACACACAATTGGTGCCAAACGCAGAAACAAACGGATACGAGTACGTCAAGGGTGGGAGTGGCGAAATGGCGCTTCACTTGTTGATTGGCTCGTCCGACTACAACGGCGACACAGATGTGGCGATGGATGTCAAGCTTACCTTGCCCTGGCTGAACACCCTTCTTCGGGCACTTTCTTCCAACCTTCTCAATGCGTTTCCTTTGGCCAACGGTGTGCAGGGGAACGATGTGACCGTGCTGACACCAGTGACTGAGACAATGGTGAGCACGAAGGTCCCATCGTCGTCGCCGACGTCGCTCTCATTCCTTGTCACCGTATCCTCAGTATGTCTTGTTCTCATGAAGGAACCGGATATATTTGCCCTGCGTGCTCAGCTTCAATTTTATTCCTTTAATGGTGTTTGGGGGTTTGGAGGTGAGAAAACCTCAGTGCAGTTGTTTCATATAAATAAGCTTACTATAGATGATATCAGTCCTAACCGCCGCATCATGAGGCATGATATCCCTAAATGGCAACAGCAGCAGCGTGGTATCACACGAGAGTCTTGCATGGGTCGAGAAAAGCGAATGCTCGAAGTGGAGAGTGGATGCATCTCTACGCCAAAGCCACAAACAAATATGGAGAGCACGACGTTGTCGCGTAAAACTGATTTGGTGTTTGACGAGGTACATGTTTACACGGCTCGATCTTCTTGGACCACGCTTGTCGGCATGCTGTTGTTTGATCTCTCTGCAGGGGCATGGACCGCAGCAAAAAACGATGCCCCTAAAGTCAACAGCGACGTGGCAGCGAACTCCTCTTTGCTGGCTTTGACTGTTCACCAACTTAATGTGCACTTAGAGCTACCGTGGGAAGAACCTTTGGCACAACTATCCGCCTGTTCCGTGAGAATGCAGCTTCATCGGTGCGATGGGAAGGAAACCCTGGAGTTTCGTTCGGATGAACCCATCTCTCTCACTCCACGCTTTGAACACGCAGCAGAAGTGAATATACTGGATTGGGGGGATACACGTAAAGAAGCAGTGCAAAGTAGTGCACCAAGACCGTTTCTCCACATCCTTGTGACACAATCGCAGAATAATCAAAGGAAGTATGAGTTTGACACCTTGTATGAAGAGAAGCCGCAGGTTAGTTGCTCTAATAGGGTGGAAGTAGTTCTTCAGTCCATGAAACTCATAGCAGATATGAATTTCATAACCCGTTTATCGCGTTTTGCTTTGGATGAGGTGGATGCATACAGTTCCCTTCTTCAGGCTTCAAAGCCTCTAAGGGTGATGCCCTCTATGTCCCTGACAATGATGGATATTTCCGTGAAGGATTTCCAGGTACTTTTGCCAACAATGGAAGCAGTACAAGCGCCAAGGTGGCGGCTCACGGTGGAGGAAGTAAAATTGACAAACAAGTGTGTTGAAGTAACTCTTGACAGCAACTCTCCTGCAGAACGAGGAAGCAGAAATTGCTTCGCTAATGCCTATACTATGAACCTGTGTGGGGTGTTCCTTCTCTGTGAAGGGCTTTACCCTTTGCGCTTTCCCAACACTGTTGCATGTGCGCAGCTCCCCATGCCGCAGAGTACGTTTACTGAGTGGCGTTCAACCCGATCTGTCACCCCCGACGATTGTGTGCAAACGCACTCCACATTCGTTATTGTTTCGCCGGCGTCATTGAATGATGCTCAGCTGAGGGTATCATTTTGTAGGCGCATTCACATTCAAATGGAGGAAGGTGCCTGCCTTTCAATCTCTGCACTGCATGTGCGGGATGCGTTGCGTGTGCTGCCACCACGAGCGTCGTCTGAGGAAGTGCCGCCGTACTACGCTACACCGGTTGAAGTACCCCATGTCTCTGTTTGTGTGACGTCTTTTGCCTTGGTTAATATGCCACGGTTTTCCATTTTATTGACGGAGAATGGCCATGTCAAGGCAGAAGCGAACGTGGGCAACGGAGGGGAAAAGGGCGTAAACGAAGCTGATCTCACCACCGCCAACCTTGCAAAACTCTGCTTTCTTGGAACTGTGACACTCTCCGCATCCTTTGACTCATGTGAGGAGACCGTTACGCAAGTACAGTTTGCCATACACGGGTCATTTGAGCTTTTGGATGGCAATGGTGTTGTTGTCTTGTTTCGCCGTGGGGATGAAAACTTAAATGAGGGAAAGCAACTGCCTTCTTGTCGTTTCCCTGAGCATTATGACGCCGGACTCTGCGTTGACGTGACGGACAGCCCAACGGAACGCCGAATGTGTCTGGAATCACATGGAATCATCGTCACACTTCAGCCTCATACTGTGGATTTTGTGCTTCGTATGCATAACTTTATTGCTCTCATGCATCGTGAGGGTTTTTTTGCGATGGAACGCAAAAACAATGCGAACAAGAGGCGGATCAATGATGCCGACGACACGGATGTAACACAACTTTCTTTTTCTTCGACCAAAAGACAAACTGTATTGACTATTCATGTGGCTCTCCTTTCATTGACAGTGGAGCGTACAGCCCTAATGGAGGCTCGAAATGTGAATGCACGTTTGAGCTGGAGGGATGGTGATTCGACCTTGGTAGATGCCTCAATTCCCTACAAGGTTACCATTGGGGACCTCGTGCTGCGAAACATGGATAGTACTTACGCGTTTATGTTCCTCTCATCTCTTGAAGTATCCCTCGGAGTTGGAGAAGTGAACCTTCGAGCAAATCCACTTGTTATAAACAACTACGACATGTTGTTTTACGCAGATCTTTGGAGGAGTGTCGAGGCACTTTACCACTATGTTCTTCAGAACGTCACCTTCTCAAAGAAAAACGAGGATGGATTTAAGCAGTCTGTGATGGTGACTCTGACCGATGTGCGTGTGTGCTTCTTTCTCTCTCGACAGCCTCTTGTCTGCGAAGCGACTGACGGCAGGATGGAAATTGTGTTCCCTGTCGTGGTTTTAAAGCAAAAGGCAAGCACAACAGGGCGAAGCTTGACTTTTGAGACGGAAAATGGTGTCATACGATACCGCCGTCCAGAGGGTCTATTACCGCCTTTTGTGAAAAATCTGTCCTTATCTTGTTTTGTGGAAAACAGTCTTGTAACTCAGTCTCGGTCCAACGTTATACGTCTAAGTGGCATAGAGGCCTTTATTCCGTTTGGTGACACGTTGCAATGCTGTGTGGAAGCCGTCGCACAGGCGTTTCTGCCTCTTCTCTCCGTTTCTGCTATGACACGCCGTAACTTGGACGTTGGTCCGCCTTCCACGGCTGAGGTGCCAGCAACCCCACTGAGTTGCGACAAGTTTGTCTTTACGGTTCCTTTGGTGTCATTGAATGTTTGTGCCTCTCAGTCAGAAGATGAGGCGTTGGTAGGAAAGGCCGCCGTCTTATTCGGTGTCACTTTTCATAACATAATATGTGAGCAGAGCCGCACCGGTGTGAATGAGAAGACCCTTATCCAGGCTCTTTCCGTCACAAGCAGTGTAAGTGCTGCCTTTCAGAAGGAATTTGTCAGTGCTACGGCGCCGAGTGGGGCGCTTGACGAGCCATCCAAGTGGGCCGTGTATTTCTGCAAGGAGATTTCTGTGAGTGAGGCAACAGTGCCATCGTCTTTGTCCCACACAGATGGAGGCGGAGGCGGGGAAGATTCACTGCATGAACAACTGCCAACACGTCTCGTAAGTATTATTGCCCGTGCTCATGCAGTGAAGCTTACTGTTTCACCGAAGCTTCTAAGTACTCTAAATGAACACTTTCTTTTACATGTTTGGTCGGGTGTTTATCGCACGCGAAGTGTAACCGCATCATGTTTTTCGTCGCTTTCTGTGAGGGATGCTGGTGCTTCGTTGCATTGCAGCTCTGTTGATGGCACCAGTGATCAGCTCCTCACCATTAAAAGTGATTGCTGTCTGAGCTCCGATCTCACACTGGGTGGGAGACGTGGGACATTACTCCGATTTTCAAAAGAGCCTGGTGAAAGTAATCCATCCAATAAGATAACTGTTAAGGGGGTTAATCATGCAAAGGTGTTTGTGTCCATGGTCGTGGGTCCTGATGGCACCTTAAAGCCACCTATTGTGGTGGATCCGGGTCTCACAGTCGTGATTGAGGGGGTGCCATTTGTCACAGAAGACGGGGATGTGATGGACTACGTTGAATTGGGTGCGCGTTCGCTTCTGGTGGTACCTACCGAACTGCTTCCCGTCGCCGTCCCTGGAAGTCCATGCCGTTCACTGGCTACTTCCGCCAATGTTTCCTTAAATGCCGCACGGTGGTATAGTCTGGAGGTGACGATTGATGCATTAACCGATGTTGCGTTGAGCCTGTGGTCAGAGCATCAATCGATTGAGGTCTCCAGTGAGGCGTACGTGCGGTACAAACTAGCGAAGAACTGTTATGAAGGCAACCGCGGTGTACGAGACTTCATAGATGAGTCTGGCGAGGTGGCGCTGTTAAATGTATCAATATTATGCGACAGTGGCTTCATCACCAAGGACCCTACAGGCTTGATGGTTCACGTAAAACACCATAAACTGAAGGAAGACCACACAAATGCTGGCATGACAGTGGTGCGAGCGATAGTGTCGAACACCAGTTTCACACTTTCGGTAGGGAACCTCCGACTCCTTTATGACACTGTCAATGAGCTACGACAGGGTTTGAATCAGATAGGATCTACCAAGGCAATGGTCACCACCTTGACACCGACACACCACAGGGGCGAGGAACAGAACAGGAGGTTTGTCACGAGGGGGAAGGTGTGTACTGGCGGTGTGGATCATTCCTCTCATGCTGAAGCACCCTTGTTGTGGTCACGCGATGGGGAAGTAACACCATTGATAGACTTTGCTGCATCTGCAGCGTGGATTGAAGTTATTTTAACAAGTGACTTCTATAGACCGGAGGTAGCCGTTGCTCTTAGCAATTCCGCTCTCATGGCAAAGGGAAATCGTAGCTTGAATCGCATGAAGTGGACGGCCTCAAGCATGGTACGTGTTACGGACTACCCACAGCTGCAGCCTCCACGTGATGTTCTTCTTGTCTCACCTGAAGTAGCGGTGGAGTACACACGGCACACCGGTGGCGGGTTTTCTCTTCAAGGAGCCTTGACATGTCTTGAACTCTCTTTGACGCTGCCGTTAGTGACGGTGTTGCGTCTTCTTCGCTTTCGTTTTGACTTGCAACGCACTGGGGCCTACTCGTTTCTCAACTGTACCGGCGTTCCGCTCCTCCTTTTGGCGGTGACTAAAGTGAACAAGAAGGGTTTGAAGCCACGAACGCAGTTCTGCCGTCTGCCTCCTGGTAAGCTTGTCAAGGCACGCCTCTTTCACTACAGCCAAACACTATTTCGTGTCGTCGCCGATGACAGGGAACAAATTGAAGAGTACGATGAAAATCTCAATATGTTTGGTACTGAAGTGAACTTATCGGCGCTGCGGCGTGGGGCAACATACCGTTTTCCACTTACTGAACCTTCTGTAGGTGTCTTGGATGTCGTGATGCGTCTGGATGAAATGGAGCGCATTGTTAACCTCACCACATCAGTCGCGATAAGGAACGAGCTTTCCACACACATTGTATGCTTGCCTGGGACCCCCTCTGATTCCTGCAGGGTCCAGCCAAAAGAAACACGTTACGCACCCCTTCCGTGCCTCCGTCATCCATTCTCATTAATCGTTGGGGAATGGCGATTTAAATCAAAGAACGCACTTGTTACCTTGGAGGGTTTGATCAGCGCATTTACACTTTTCTCATCTGGGCAGAAGGGTTTGTCGGCAGATGCGATGAAGAGTGTCGTTGTTGTTGCTTCTAGACGCGCATACATGCAGGGAGATGACACACTTGTGATCCCATTAACTCTCGAAAAGGAACACCTGGATGAACGTTTGGCTGAAACGGATGAGAAGCACAGGGAGGAGATGCGTGTTTTCTTGGTGCTAACGCGGAGGGTTGCATTGGAGAGTGAACCCCGAACTTCACGCCTTCTGTCCCGTTATGAAGTGGAATTGCGTGTCTGTCCAATGGTGACTGTCGTTAATGAGACGGGGGCCGTGCTTGCCGTGAATGTGGTATCCTCCTCCTCCTCCTCCTCCGCTTCAGATGCGGCTACACATACACGAACGTTTGTGCGTGAAGAAGAGGAGTTCAACTGCTTTTCCAAGAGTCTTGAAGGGGAAAGCTTCAGCATGAATTTAACCTGTGAGTTTGCGGATGGTGTGCAGTTCTCCTCTGTTGAACCCCTGCCTTTAACTTTCACAGGAACAACGACGGTGGCCATAAAGGATTCGGTTGGTGAGAAAATGGTCACCCTTTTGGTGGAGCATGCGATACACAGTAAATTTATTGTGCGTGCTGCAGCTATCTTGATAAATGCGTTGCCTTTTCCTGTACGAGTATATGACGAGTCGGATGCATTGGTGCCGGGGCAGAACGATGTGGAGGGTCTCCCCTCAGGACATAAATTACCTTTGACACTTCCAGCTCTTAGAGAGCAGCTCCGGAGGCCTGATGCTGCGGTTGTGGTAAAAATTGTGGCGGGTGGTCCTAATGCGACCTGCTCGCAACTGTTTACTTGCAACGTCCTAACCGTTTCAGGTATGCTTCAAAGTGTGGACGGAGATGTGGTTCGCATCTTTAGAGTGCAACGCGTGGGAGGAATTAAAAAGGTGTTCAGCCCCACTCCAATGATCCGTCTAGAACCTATGTGGGTGTTCCGCAATCAGAGCCACGCCTTCTTCTTAACGGTGCGCTCTGTGGGAATGACAGAGACCTTGATCATTGAACCACGGACAACGAAGGAGTGGACGACCTTTGCCGTGGCATCCGCGTCGGATCCACTGATGCAGATACGTTACGGTGGAAACGAGGAGGAGCTCTTTATGTGGTCTGAGCCTCTCAAACTGGCCACCCTTTCTGGCGCCAATGTGCCCATCACCGTGAGACATCAGCTGTATGAGAAAGTGACAGAAATGGAGGAGATGGTGTTGCCACCATCCGTTGTAGGGGCAGGCGTGGCTGTCTACACGAGCATGCGGACTCCAATGATGGTGGGGGAATCATTGAAGTGTGAACGTTTTGCATGTCTTTCCATCACCCCTTGGAGGAAAAATGGGATCTTTTATGTTGATTTTTCCTTGGATGGGAATGTTCCAGTAGTTGTAGAAAATCGTACTGGACGCTCACTACAATATGAACATGTGCGAAAGATGTCTTCAGCTTTGCAGCAAGTTGCACGTGCCTACGTTATCCCGCCCTTTACGGATGGTGTAACCTGCTTTGATAGTGATGGCACCGCCCACGTCATGCGACTTACCCTGTTTGGTGGGGATAGGCCTCCCCAGCAGTGCATCGTTGATTTGGCGAAGGCCGCTGTCACACGTGAGGCTGTAACGGCGTCTCCAGGGATGTTTGTTCTATGCACGTATGACCACAGCATTCGACGCTACTATATTTCAGTTACAGCGGACCGTTCCCTTGAAAGCAGGCTTTTATTTCAACCTCGGTATGTCATTCATGTGGAGACGTTTATTCATACCCTCTCACTGTATGTCGCCTCGATATGTGTTCCAAAGGATGAACCCGTCGTACAAACATCACCACTGGCGGTGCTCGTGACGAGGAATCAACTTCGCTTGGGCCGAGGCATCACTAATGAGGCGTTCACTAACGCTGAAGTACTCGCCGCACTGAAGCGTTGTGAGCTTGACGTCATCCTCATTCAAGCTCTTGGAATCTACGGTGTTTTTTCTGCGAATGAAAAACATTATTTTGGCCGTTTAGATATTGGACGCCTGACGTTTATTGACTGTACGAACCCCCGACCAGCGTACCCTGTAATCGTGGATTTAAACAGCGAAGTGACGCGTGTTAGCGTGTCTGATACCAAGGCAGTCAAGCCCTGCTTGTCGGTGAAGATGCACGCTCTTGCTCCGGGGGATTCCACTGCATCGACGATGAGCCATGCGCCTGGAAAGGATGTTACCATTCTGCTGCAGCACCTCTCTCTTGATGTGGCTCCAGTGACAGTGAAACTGACTGATTCCTTACTCTTTGTTCTGCGTCAGGTTGGCGTCTGTGTATGGGAAGCGGTTCAGCAAACTGTGCCTACTCGCACAGTTCAAGAACAGGATGTGGGAGACGGCAATGAGGTTAGTAGCCCTACATCACCTTCCACGATTGAGGTTATTCCTATTTATAACTGCTTTATTGCACACTTGCATGTTTCACGCATTGATTTGGATCTTACTCTCACACGCCGTAGTGATGGAAAGTTTGATCCTTTTGTGGGTATACCTCTTGGTCGTCGGTTTATACCATCTGTAGAGCGGGCTCCTTTGAGCATCAGTGGTGTGGATAGAATGGATGTGAGTCAGCGTGGAAGTTCACCATGTGGTGCATTATTGGAGCTACTATGGCCCTCGTATAGAAACCAGCTGTTATTTCAGTTCTACAAGATCATTGGTTCCCTGGAGATTCTGGGAAATCCCCTTGCATTGATAAGTGGCTTACGAAAAGGTGTTCAGTCATTTGTCGTTGAAGTGGCGGATATGAACCCTGCGAAGGGTGCCCGCGAACTTCTTCTTGCAACCACCTCCTCGACATTGCACACGGTTGGTCTTCTCTCCCGTGTAGGCAGCCGGACGGCGGCAACTCTATCGTGGGACAATGACTGGCTTGAAACAAGGGAAGAGGATGAGCGAAGTAATGATACGTTGAATCGAAGCGGTGTCTTGTGGGGTATGGCGCAGGGACTCCGTGACGGTATTGAGGGCGTTGTCGCTCGCCCACTGAGCGGCGCACGAACCGCCGGTCTGTCTGGGTTTTGTACGGGCATTGCAGCCGGTGCAGTAGGACTACTTACACGGCCTATTGCGGGAGTATTGGATGGATTTGGTAACACCGCGGAATTTTACTCCAAGTTATTGCAGGCACAAGATGCGATCCCCAACGCGCATCTCAACTACCTCCAGAGTGAGCGCAATTTTGTCGCAGCCGTCGTCGCAAATCTCAACAAGGAGATCCCTGCTGCTGACACGTCCGCAACGGACAGTGTGACGAATTCCGTCTCAGTGGCACCTGCCAGTACTTCCACTGGGCTTACTGCTGCGTTTGGTAAATGTTTGGCGTATCTGGGGAGCAGCAAGAAATGGACCACAGATAGCTGCGAGTTTGTATCCCAGGTAGCGTACGAATCAATCAGGCTGCATGCGAAGCTAGAGGGGCTTCAAGGCGAAGAGTTTACGCGATTTATCAAGGATGCCGCTGGCGTTCATAATTATGCTCTTTACGCCGATTGGGACTCCTTTGTGGCGCACACCACGCCGGAGGAATTCTACAACTGGGTACATATTGCACTTGCAGCTGCTCTTGGTAAAGAAATGAAATCTTTTCTTTTGAGTGGTGAGTTTAGTGAAAGTACGTCAACCCGATTAAAAGTTCTGCCGTTTTGTGAGCCGTTTTTCAGCACCCAGCAAAGGCATGAGGCAGCTGCAGCATTGGAGCGGGCAGAAGTAATTAAAAACACCCTTGGTGTGCGAGATTTACTCAAGTACGTTTCGCTTGAGCACATGGTTATGGTGTGTTCACTGGACGAAATAAAGCATCACGTCTCTCCCGAGAGTATTCACGGGAAGCTGCCTCAGTTAATCCTTGCCACTGCAAGAGAGTCGCTGAGATTTATTTTTTTTGGTGGAATTGAAGAACAACTTCTCGTGTGATATGCGTAGATATATTTTTCTCTGTGTTTGTGCGTGTTTTTTTTTTAAATGTTGTGCTTTATCCCCTGGTGTGAAGCTTGACATCAGCATGAGTGTGCTCCACATGTATTGTTAGAGGCAGTCATGTCCACAGGCGTCGAGGGCCCGTGATATTTATATATATATATATATATATATATATTGCCTTCTTCTTCATGTGTATGTAAGTTTTGTCTCATCTGTTGTTTTTGTGTGTTTTGTATCTTCGGCGCATACGGGGGAGAGGAGGATTGCATGAAGCATCCTCTGCATGTAGCAGCAGCTCTCTGCCATTTGATCGTCTTCCTCTTCGTTATTCCCCACACCGTCGGCGAGAGCATCTTGCAGGGGGAAGACGTGTTGCTACCGTACTGCGCCAGCCGACCGGAGCTTCGGGATGTGGCGGAGGAGGCAGACAACCCGGATGCACAGCCCGGTGGGATTGGAACCGTGCGAACATACAAAGGATGCTTTCAGCAGAGGCGGGACCGCTTTGTTGTGGTGACGCCAAGGCGTACGGCACCATCGCCCAGGCTGCTGCCGCCTTGTCACCGCTTTTTGCAACGCAACGAAACACTTCGGCTTAACTACCTTCTCTCTGACATTTGTCGCATGGGACACACTACGAAGGATGCGCCTCACCTCATGACGTTCCTGATGGATTACCTTGCCCCCTGTTCAACCCTCTGTCGACAGGTGCCGCAAGGCAAAGCTGTGGCTGAACAGCTTCGTGTGCAGTTGACAGTTATTTACGGCAACGTCTGCACGTCGTATCCCGCTCCAAAGCTGGATGAACCCTTCCGAAGGGTTATTATGAGGTGGTTTCACGCCCTGTTTCGTGGTGATTCACCCTTCATTGAACTGATGACGTTGTGGGGTATTGACTTTGTTCTCCCTGTCCACACGTCCGGGAATACCACACTGCACTTCAATGAAGTCTTTTACAAAACGGCCATGTCCAGTGGCGGTTTTTTTTGCCCGCATGATGAGGTGTCTCTTGCAGCCCCGACACTGGCTCCTGCAGAAACGGGGAACAGTCAATATACCATGTGGATTATCACGCGATGGGAGCGCTTTCGCTGGTTTCGGACGCGTGCGCAAGCGAGTCTCTTTCGACGTTGCCTGTTGCATTACTACAAAATTCCTCCTCGCCCTGCTGCTCACAATGTACTGTTGCTTCAGCGCTTACGTGAGCGACGCTTTAACGAAACCGTTTTGCGGCAGAAATTTTTGGCACTTTTAAAGCCTTATGGAGTCACTGTATCGACGCAGACTTTCCACTCGATGTCTTATAACCAACAGGCTTCCTTCATGCGTAATAGTTCTATTTTTATCGCCTCTCATGGGGCGGGAATGGTAAACATAATGACCATGTCGCCAGGGAGTGTGGTTGTGGAATTATTTCCTCACGGGTTTCGTTATGCCATGTATGAGGAGTTGGCGGGATTATTAGGTTTGCATTATATTGCTTATGAAAGCCCGGAGGTTTTTCCACCGCGTTGCTGTAGGCAGCGTGGGGGAGACTCAGCGGCACAGCTTGAGCCTCCGCTACAGGGCAATCCACCCAAAACAACCTTCGGCGTGCGTTCCTGCAAAGAATGTGATATTAAGATTTTGGAGGAAGACATGGACACTATTATCTTTGATGCTTGGGGAATTGTGTCTGCCAACGGTAGTCTGCGTTCCATTCTTATGTGAAACGTGAGTGCGGGATGTTTGTTTCCTCGGCCGTATGCGGGCACAATAACAATGAAGTTTGGGAGTTTGTAGCATTGCTGCAGAGTGTGCCGGTTTCACTGCTGCTGCTGTTTCGTGACTTTCCCCCAGCTTGATTGCGTCTGCATGTGATGTGTTGCGTTTCATCATGAGCTATTCTTCTTGTCGCTGACTTTAGCCTTTTTTTTTTCTTCTCTCTCTCTCTATATTTCCCTTCCCCCTTATTTGTCCTCAGTTACGCACCAGCTACTCTAATCTACATTAACCAACAAGTTAAAGGACTCCATGACCTCCCTGAAGGAACTCAACGGCCGCCTCGGCACTCAGCCTTACGTCGCGGGCTACAGCCCCAGCCAGGAAGACGCCAAGACATTTGCTGAGATGTTTGGCTCTCACACTGCTGTCGTTGAGTGGGCCGCGCGTATGGCGTCGTACTATCAAGCTGAGCGCGAACAGCTTCTCAAGGGTGCCGTGTCCTCCTCGAAGAAGGAGGATGACGACGACATTGACCTGTTCGGGGATGCGACAGAGGAAGAGACAGCTGCTCTCGAGGCCAAGAAGAAGAAGGACGTTGAGACCAAGAAGGCCAAGAAGGAGATCATCGCCAAGTCATCCATCCTGTTTGACGTTAAGCCATGGGACGATACCGTGGACCTTGAGGCGCTGGCGAAGAAGCTGCACGCCATTGAGCGCGACGGCCTGCTCTGGGGCGACCACAAGCTGGTGCCTGTGGCGTTCGGCGTGAAGAAGCTGCAACAGCTCATCGTTATTGAGGACGACAAGGTCTCCAGTGATGATTTGGAGGATTTGATCATGTCGTTTGAGAACGACGTGCAGTCTATGGACATTGTCGCCTGGAACAAGATCTAAGTGATTCCCCCTGCTATCATTGAAGCGAAAATGGGAAAAAGAACAAGAAAGTGTCTGTGGCTGTCTGCGTGTCTTTATGATGAGTGGCTGTGCGAGAAGACAACGAGGATGTGGGTAAATAAGTAAATAAATGGCGGGTTTTTGTGCCGTAAATGCAGGTGCACCCTGGCGAACTTCAAAGGGGGATCGGGGCGGAGGAGGGGAGGGCCAGTCACACAGCGGAAAGGAACTCCGTCCCTCCCACTTCTCTTACCGTCCTCACAGAGGGGAAGGCGTCTGATGAGCAAGACACTCCGCCCATTTATTTGCGCACCGAAGTTGTTGTTGTTTTTTTTTCTTTAAAAAAAAAAGGAAGAAGAAGAAGTGCCTCCGCAGGTTATATATATAAAGGTTCTGTTCTATTGTTAAAAGGAAATGAAAGGTAAGGGAGTGGAAGGGAAGAGGCAAAGAACGCATCAGGTGCTTAACTGGGAGGAAGGAACGGCATTAATGCGCACACGATGCGCTGACTCTCCTTCATGGGCCCAGCTGTTGGCTACCAGTCATAGTGCTACTGGCGCTGCTCCCATACGTAGGTGTCATGATTACGGTGTTTCTCTCTTTCTTTCTTTCCGTCTTTTTTTTTTTTTTGGTCCTTGTCATTATTATTATTTCTCTTGCCTTAAAGCCACACCTGCGGCTGAAGCGTCGTTCATCTAAGAACGAGTAAAACAACGTAGGAAACAAGAGCGCCGGTGGTGGTGGAAAGGGCAGCAAAAAGGAAAACAAAAGCAAGACAACAAACACACACACACACAAAAGAAAAGACAAATGCGGCGTCTTGTGCGTGGGACCGTGGCGGTCTCCATGTCTGTTTCCTGTTGGCGTTCACTCGGCAGTGGGGCAGTGAAGGTCTTCATTGCCTCACGCAACACGCAGGCCATGTGCGATGCGACATGTTGTACGTCTCGTGTCTGTTTTGCGACACGGTCGCCGTTGCTTCTTCAGTCCTGGGCCCAGCGGGGGAATCGGGTCTGGATGTGTGTCAAGGAAGAATGCCGTCATGTGAACAATTCCCACGCTACCGAATGTGAGGCGTGTGGGGCCGCCAAACCCAATCTCAAGGGGTGGATGTGTGTGGAGTGTGGGACCCGCAACCACAAGGGGGTGAAGAAATGTCACAAGTGCACCGCGGCTGTAGAGAATAGCAGCGAGTTTTGGATGTGTGCTGCGTGCGAAAAGAACAATCGCATTGATGACCTGGACGATAACAGCCGCTGTGGTTTTTGCAGCTACGACATGGCCCCCATGACAATGACTGAAGCAGAGGCACTCCGAATTCAAAATGAGCGTTCGCAACGACTCCGTGAGGAGCAGGAGCAGTTTGACAGTATTTCGGCCAAAGACGCGGATGAACAGTTTGGTGACGAAATTTCTGGGGCCTCAGCACTTCCCAAAGGTCTGCGGCAGATGTCATCCACTAGTGTTCCAAGAGCCCCTCTAAAGATATTTGAAATAAAGGCATTTACTCCATCTTCTCCAGAAACAGCTCATTCACGTATTTTCAGGAAACCGAAGCAATCAACGTCGACGGGCATTCCACCGGGGCCACCAGGTTTTGACTGGATGTGCTGTGAGCCCAGTTGTGGGACTATTAACGCTGGCGACGAGGAGAGTTGCCTCAAGTGCGGTAAACACATCACCCCTGCCGAGTGGGAATGCTGTCATTGTGGTGCAGTGAACCACTTAAGTCGCTCACGATGCTTTAACTGCCACATCATTATCCCTGTATCGTGGGTATGTTCTGGTTGTAAAACGTCGACAAGCATCTATGATCGTAGTTGTCGTCAGTGTGGTGAGCCGCGTCCCGTTACTGAACCAAAAGACCCTCACGAAGTACAATTTCCAAGGCACACAAGAAGCTCTGCATTTTCGGCTGGTGGCAGAAGGCACACGACGCGTGCGCAGGACTGGAGTTGTGTTGAATGTCACGGCATGAATTTTGCGTCGCGAACGGCCTGCTATCAATGCGGTGCACCCAGAAGTGCATCTGAAGCGGATTCACTCCCAGGTGCGTCGTCAGCCTCAGCCTCACCAGACTTGACAGCCAGTCATAACAATTGGTTCTGTCGTCACTGTCAGGCGAGTAACTTCCGAACCCGCACAAGCTGTTGGCAATGCGGCCGAGCCTCTTCGGAGTCCGGCGCGACATCGTGGTCTGATGACGACTCTGCGCCTCATTTTGAGAAGGAGGGCTTCCAGCAGGACTCCAACGACGACGTTGCCAAGGGACAAGTCAACGTATGGGGCAAGAAGAATGAAGACTGGACCTGCGGAGAGTGCTTCTCAAAGAACTTTAAGAACCGTCAGGAGTGCCACAAGTGCGGCGCGACAAAAACTGTGGCAGTGACGCCGCGCCGTGCCTTTGTGCGTAAGCCCGTTAAGATTTGAGACCAACAACCACCACGGTGTACTCACTCTATACTTACATTGCTTTTCCGGAGGCAGAGTACCAACTGAGGACAGTGAAAGAAGGAAATAGGGCGGGAAAAAGTGGAGGAATAAGGGTGAACATCGCGGCGAGCAGAGATGAAGCATCTCACACGGCGTTTATGTCCATCCTTCTCATCTCCAACGTTTGGTTGTTGTTGTTGTTTTTTCTCTATCTGTCCGTCTGTCTTTTTTCTCATGCACCATTATCACATTTAGCACCACAACGGAAACACCTGATTGTGGGCAAAAGACTTCTGTAGTTTGTAGAATTTTTGTTTTTATGTGTCTGTATGTGTGTATGTGTGTAGCTTGCATCTTTCAATTGCTGTTATTTGGCCTCTCTTTTTTTTTTTTCTTCTCTTGTTTTGTTTGTACACGTACTCACGCTCTCACTCATCCCTGGTTCAGTGGGTCAGGCAGAATACGATGCGTCGGTTACGTGTCTCGTGGTACCTTCTCCCCACTGCGGAAATAACAGTGCGGGCTGCATCCCTGTCCTCAAGATTGGGTATCTCTTTATTGGGTGAAAACTTGGAGGACGAAGAGCGACTCGCCCGACTTCTTGTGCAGGATGCCCCCACAATGGCAGCTGCAGCAGCAGCGGCTGCCCCGCTACCGGTATCATCAGCTATGAAATTCTCGACATCCACTGTTCCTGTCACCACCTTCGCGGTGTCGTCAATGACAGAAATGGGCCCCAGGACGACTGAAGAAGCCACATTGGCAAATGACATCTTGTTGGAGGAGGAGGATGCAGCAACACTGCAGCGGGGTGGTTCCCCTATCAAACTTTCTCGTCAGGGAAATCAACAACTGGCTAAGTACTTGTATATCCGTCGGTCAATGCATGCGAAGGTTGTCAAGGAAGGTGCAGAACCGGTGGAGGAGTCTACTCTTGAGTGGATGTGCATTCGCTGCCGGACCTATAACTTTGTGGGTCGAAAGTCGTGTAGGCGATGCAACCAAAGGGATGTGGACTCCTTTAAACACAACGCACCTCCTGCACGTCATATTCCACTATTCCCTACTCTCTGGACATGTCATTCATGTGGCTGCATAAATCGTTCAGAGTCTAACGAAGCTTGTAGCCGCAACAAGTTTTTTTGCGACGGTTGTAACAAGCGGTTTACTGGTGTGCGTGAATGGTATTGCCCCTTCTGTCACTGCATCAATTCGCGAGGTGCGACGCAATGTGCAACGTGCTACAATGAACGCCCTCATTCCTGGACGTGTCCCTCCTGCAAGCACGAGAGGAACTCGATCTTCGCTACGGAGTGTCGTAGTTGTCATGTCTCCTGTCAAAAACAGGTGTCTGACTCCACCATTCTTTGTCCAACGTGTCGTCAACGTAATGATGCGCAGTGGGAGATGTGTTTTTTCTGCATGACACCACTGGGTGTAATGCTGAGCATAAGGAAGCTTCAGAACAGAGTGGTCGACAGCGTGAAGGAGGTGGTAGAAGCCTTGCCGAGTGAACCTGAATACAGGGGGAGCAACGGTGAGGGGGGGCACCTTTTGGAACTCACGGTGGCGCAGCCTCCTCCGACGACTTGTATGGAGACAGAAGCTGCAGGGGCGAGGGGAAGGGATGAAATGCAATCAAGCAAATTTCAACCACCGGAGCAAGAGAAAGAGGCGACCCATAAGGACTCAAAGGCGGAATGCCAGCAAGGGCAGTGCTCCTCAGGTGAGTGGGTGAGCCCTACGCGAGAAGAACAAATCCCGGAACTTGCGATGAGTGAAGAAGGAACATGGTGGTGTGACGAATGCCAGGTTGTGCATCGGCGCAATGTGGGGTTTTGTGACATTTGCCTGAAGCCAAAAGCCCTTGCAAGTTCGAGAAAGACGATGTCACAGCGAGAAAGGATAGTGCGAAATGGATTGTTCTCCGTCACATCTGCTCATCACACTGAGGATGCGTCACTGACACACTGTGGGAAGTCCTTGAGTTCAAAGTCAGAGGAAACAGGTGGTGGACAGCGCGAAGAGCAACAACAAGTACAGGTTGTGTCTACTGCGTTGGTGGACGCTGCTTTAGCTTCCTCTTCCGTGGGTGATACAGGTCAGTGGCGATGCCCATATTGCCGAAAGATGCAGGGTGTTATGGAGATGTCATGTTGCAGCGTAGCACGCGAGATTCCATTTGGGTATTGGCTTTGCACCACTTGCTGCAGTACAAACCGTGATGAACGGGCTACATGCATGGGTTGTGGTGCAGCACCACCTGCAAAACCGTGGCAGTGTTTTTTATGCAGGTTTAGAAATAATAGTCAGGACCTCTTTTGTGCTCACTGTGGCTCTGCGCATCTGCATCACTGGGAGTGTGCAAAGTGTGGTACGAAATGTCAACACGCCTCTCACCGCAGGTGTCCTTCGTGTGGCGCGGAGAAGCCTTTGACATGAGGTTATTACTTGCCCGACTTGCTGTGCATCAAATCACCCGTCTCGGAAGAGTTGTTACCGTTGTCGAGGACGGTTATCCTCTGATAAGTGGTGCTGTGGAGCCTGTGGCTCACCCGAGAATGGGAAGCAGGCTCGGCGATGCGAGGCATGTGGGAGTTCCGCGGGAGTACAATATGAAAGAGGTGACATGGATTTGTGATGTATGTGACACAGCAGTGGCCACCGGCGGTGCTTTGCCGGAGCGCACGCAGTGTCCTCGCTGTTGTTCTGAGCGTACTGATCGAAGTTTATGCTTGCCCAGTCGTTGGCGCTGTCAAGGTTGTGGTGTGGTGAACGTCTATGCCCTCCCCACCTGTTTGGAGTGCGGTGTTAAGCGTGTGTTGGAACATCTACATACCCGCATTACCTGCTCCTCGTGCTTCCGTGTAACGTTTTTGACGGAGCAGGAGCAGTGTAGCAAATGTGGCGCAAACTTGTCGTCAATCATCAACGAGGCGGGAACCCCAATTTCTCTATCTGGTCTCTCGTCCCTTCTTGCAGTTTTTCCTCCTCCCAATTCCCCTGCAGATGGGCCTGCGCCAAGAAACTGTGCTGTGGATAATAATTCTATGGTAGGGAGAGAAACAGTATCCTTCTCTTCTTCTACCCATGACAGCACGTTGACAGCGAAGCAGTATGAGGGTGACCAACTGTATGAAGCAAGGCCTTCTGTCGAGAAGAGGACCAACCTGGAGTTGGCCCTGGGTGGGCGCGTGGGAACCACCTCCACCTCCACCTCCACCTCCACCTCAGTCCCTTCTTCTTTTTCCTCATCTATGGCAGGGGCGGTGGCAGCAGCGCGAATGTCATCGCTTAGCTCGAGTAACACTGGCGGGATAAACGTCTCGATTGGGGAATTGGAGGCGATGGCGGTGGAGGAAAATGAGGAGGAAGAGGAAGAAGAGATGGATTTGGAAGGGACGGGGTGGAGCATCGAAATTCCATCATGGATGTGTGGGAACTGCGAGACCACAAATCTCGAAGAGGCTGAGATGTGTGTGTCCTGTGGTATTCGCCGCGGCGACGAGTAAACTCACATTAACTCACTTGGTAGCATTTGCGGACGCAAAGGCGTAATGCACGAAGGAGAACATGAATGTACGGGCATCTGTTGTTTTCTTTTTTCTGTGTGTACGTGTTGCGATGAGGCTTTGCTTCTCTGCGTTTCTCTGCATGTCGCTTTCTTTTTTCTACTTTGGTTACGTTCCGTCCCGCTGCGGCGGCACAACAAAGTAGAGAAAACCGAAGGGCAAGTGCAAGAAAAGCAAAACAATAAATAAACATACACGAAAAAGAGATTATCCATCAGTTTCTGCACACAGCTACAACAAGGAAGAAAGGCAGAAGGGGGGGAAAAAAAAAGAAAAACTGAAATGGAAGACGGAAGCTGGATTATTGAGTCCATCTTGCAGTTTACGCATTCACCGTTGTGGCGCACCCCCATTAACAATTTTGTGGACGACAACTGTTTTCTATTCAGTACCGATGAGATGACGGTAGAGCAGACGGAAGTGCATTTGGCCTTCCGGAATCTGGCGGACAACCTCATAACCGCGTTTGTGGAGGAGCTCGGCGTCCCGCTGGAGACTGTTCTGGAGGTGGTGCACAAGCACGTGAATGAACAGAGCCCATTGCAGCAACCTGCAGAGAAGTTTCTACACAATCTCTTTTACATGGACGACTTCCGCTCCTTTCACAAGATGATGATGCGGCGAAATATTCAGCTGGACGTTATCGCCTCGCGAATACTTGAACACCAGAAAAACGGCCGCGTTGGAGAAACGTCACCTGAGGAAGAGGTGATGATGGACGAGGAGGCGGCACTCCACTTAGCCATTAAGGCTTCGCTTGAGGATGAGGAGACCGCACGCAAGATGATGGAACTGGAAGACATGCAAATACAAGAGGCCCTCGCGTTGTCTATTGCAGCAGAAGAAGAGCGTCTCCGGCGTCGAAGCGGAACAATGAAGAAGGGGGTCAAGAAACAAGTGACTGATGTGAAAGTGACAGGGACTGAGCATGTCGTCAAGGAAAAGCTGGGAGAGTTGGTGGAAGCGGAAGAATGTATTATTGAGAAACTGGAGGCCCGCGCACTGGAGGTGCGGAAGGAGACTATGAAGCGCAACATCAGTGTATCACAAAATGTGGCATTCTCGGGATCGGGCGACCTTTCAGCGGAGAAAGTTACTGCGCCTGAGGGTGCAGCTAAGCAGCAACAAGACGTATCTCCCGCTCCGGCCCCGGCGACGGACAAACCGCCCACAAAGAAAATAGTGCCGCCATTTCTGCCTTCTGGCAAAGTATTTGGTTTTAAGACACTTCCTTCTATCCAACCTTCCTTCAAACAGTTGGAGTCTGTGGTCTTGGGAACGGCAATGCCGCCCTCACCACAGTCTGGCAAGCAGTCTGGAGTTACACCAGCAGCTGCTGTGTCACCTCCTACAATGGAAGAGATGGAGGAACGAGCACGACACATGCGTGAGCAGCGAGAGAAAATTTTGGCACGTAACAAGGCTAACAGAGATAAAGAGTTGAATGATTATTCCGTCGAAGGAGAGAAGAGCAACGTGAAACCGAGTAGTATTCAGGAAGGAGAAAAACAGATGATGCTGGAGCTTGCGCGGCGCCTGCGGGAGGACATTGTTCGCGAAGCAACCAAGTAAGTTTGATACAAAGGGGATATTATTAATTTATTTTTATACTGTGATTGTTGCTTTGCTACGATGTGACCCGTGAGGGGAATGTGGGTTGCCTCTGTCAGAAGAAAGACTGTTAACGTTTGAGAGCACACAACGAGAAAGCAACATTGATTGGGAAGTACCGGGTTTTGTTGTTTTTTCTAACTTTTTCGTGTTTACTGAACAACACGGAACCAGTGCAGAACATGTTAAAATACATGTAACACCGTTTGTAGGAAGAAATCAAATACAATGTCCGGCATTCTACTGAGTGGTGTCACGTTTGTTATTTAGTTTGGGCCGGGGCATTCAGAAATTAGGGCGCACATGATTCTCCTCTGTTGTGAAGACAAAAAATGTGGGCATTTTTTCCTATTTATATATAGCTGTCATTGGGGAGGGAGGGAGGGGGGGGGGGAAAAAAAAAGGGGGGAAGCTCAAAGAAGCACAAAGAATACAGATGTAGGCTGTGCTTGCGTTAGGTGACGCGTGGCAGTATTTTGATAAACATACATTT